CTATCATGCTTGTGCATTTCTTCCCCTTTTCTCATTGTTAACTTCCTTTGTCAATACACTGTGTCAGTGTACTTACTAGGCCCTAACTGACTTACGGAACATTTTGTTACCTCTCCTCAATATGGAGATGTCTGGCATTAACCTTATATAATGGACCCAACACTTTTTATTGTCCTTTCATTTTATTAATGCATATATCAATATATTTAGTATATATAAGCACACAATGCAAAGCTTCTCAGAAAAACATGTTTTCATTAGTATAAAAAGGTGCTATCAAGCATAGATTAACATCAGGCAGAGCTTTATCATGGCCAGAGTAGCTGGAGATGTTTGATCATTTATCCTGAAGACTATCAATAGTCCTGGATGGCGTGCTGTTGCTTGAAAGCTTCCTGTGCCCAGTTGAGATTCTGGCTCACACACATCTGGTTCCCTTTAGCGGTGCTAACCCTACAAAAAAATCAACAGAGTTACGACGAGAAAATATGATTTGTCACTTTGAAATGTGATATTTATGTACGTTTTTCTGTTGTGTGCTCAGACAAAAACTGGATAAACGTGGTCATTGTTCTGGTGGGGATCATAAAGTGTCAGAGTAAAGTACATACACAAATGCCTTCTCAAGACATTTGCTGTGAGTCTTGATGATGGAGATAATTTGCTTCTGCGGTATTCTTCCCGTGAAGAATTTAAAGCAGCACGTTGCAGGCGCTATATCATTCACTGCCTGAGCTGGAAAACAACCAAGAAAACAAGACTCATTTAGCAATATACACAATAAGAAACATACTCTAGCCTTTGTAGCCCTGTTGGAGACTTTGGAGATAAAATAATAATAATCTTAATCTTAAAAATACCAGTCATGCATAATTTATAAATAATAATAAGTTCAATTTAAAAAAAAGTAAATGTATGTTTAATAAACCACATTTTATATTTAATATTCCTACAGTGTAGTAATGACAAAGAATGACAAAATACTTGCTTTTTCTTTTTTTCTTATTTATTTTTTCATTCTTCTGTTGTTTTTTTACTGATTCATGATAGCATAACAATTGTGACAACTATATTGTTGCTGTAAACTGAATAAATAAACATGGAGGGGAAAAAAGCAATATACACAGTCACTCTCAAACAGTGATACGGTTGTAATTCTGCAAATAAAAAGTTTTATAGGCTGATTCTAGACTCATTATATTTAAATTTGACTACATTTAAGTCAAAATATATAGATTAAATAGATTATAGATAGATAGATTAAATCCATTAAATGCATTAACCCAAAACAGAAGTAATAAGTGATTAGTATTACAAGACGTCACCCAACAAAAACCCAAAACAGAACATCACAAAATAAAGATAAAAACAAAAAATTACAGTAAAAAACACAAACAAGACCAATCTATCTATCTATAAAGCAAGAAATCTCTGTCTGTCTGTGGCTGTGTGTGTGTGGCTGTGTGTGTGTGACTCAAATATCTCTGCAGATCAGGA